CACACACACACACACAGGCCTATACTGCTTTAATGCACCCACCGAGTCCGCAGCGGCCCAGCGGGATCGCCTTGAGCTGGATCGGGGAGGGTTTCTGAAAGCCTGCGGCGGACAGTCCGTCCAGCACGGCCCGAGACAGCAGCAGGGAGCTGAAGTCGATCCCCTCCGACAGCACATCGTCGGTCCGTTTTCGGGTTTCTATGTCGTGCGCAGCTTTCCTCACGGAGGCAGCCATGTTGACTGTTTACCGCCGAGGATATCAAACGCAGCTGCTTTAATGCGCGGAGCAGCTGCAGACTTTACTGCCCTCTTGTGGCTGGGAGGGGAACTGACCGCACCTGTGAATAATGCAAAAAGAGTGAAAGCTGGACCAAAAGAAGACCACCCGGGTCGGAATCATATTCGTTTGAGAGAGGATGGAGGATAAACTTTTCTATTATATACTTTATTAACTATTAATTTGAACTTTAGGGTCACCAGTTTGTAAAAAAAATACCTTATCCTTTAATAGGCTATTTGGTAATAAGGCAGGTATAGATGTTGGCTATTATTAATGATCTATTACTAATTAGTTAGTTATACATTTTATTGTTAATAAATAGATTTCGGTGCACAGAGAAGAGATTCATTAGTGGCCATTCCCAATATATTAAAGAGCTAAAAAGAGTCCACGACCTGGCAACCCAGAAGTTCCTATTAATGGCTAATAGCAGCTCTATAAAACATTGGTAAATTATCTATTAACAGTTGATAAAGTTGTTAGTCACAACTTCCAACCCCCTTATAAAGGGTCACTTATTCTAAACAAAAATGTGTATTAACTTTACATTCTCCGCCAGCTAAAAGCCTTTTAAAAGGCAAAGTATTAAGTACCACTATAAGTACAAAAATCTGTGATATTAACCAGCTACAATGCTCCTTCTATGCCTTTAACCAGCAGATATTTAATCCTTAAAACCATATTGTGTTACTGAATCTTTGCTTCATTACTCAGGGGGCAGCTGGCCTAGTAATCATGGAAAGTGCAGTCTTACAGGATATTAGACAGAATTATTGTCTTTACAATCCGGATCTACGGATTTGGTTTCCAAGAATTAAATGTCACGGTCTACAGCCCCTCTCCTCTTATTGGACTTATTAAGAGGACCGCATCTCCTTCTCTTCTCTGCAGCTGCACCAGGGCAGCAAACATGCAGCATCGCTAGAGAAATAATTCACTGGTTGTTGATATTGTTGGATAACTAATTTTTTTTTTCACCTGTGGTTGTTGGATTTGTTTTGATCTAAGGTTGTAGATGGACCACTGACACTTTATTTTCATACCGGGGAGCAGCTAGAGCACTCTATACTGAGCAAAATGGGGCACCTTGTCCTACATAGAAACTCCTCATCCTCTTACAGCTCAGTCGACACAGAGCTCCTCTCTCGGACTGGCTACACCATACTGGCCATTATCATGGGTGTGTTCTCTGTGGTGGGGATCCTCCTCAATGTCCTGGTGATCGTGGTGACAATGAAACACAGACAGCTGAGACAGCCACTCAGCTATGCCCTGGTTAACCTGGCCATATGTGACCTGGGCTGTGCTGTATTTGGAGGTGTGCCCACCACAGTTACCAGTGCCATGGGATACTTCAGCCTGGGACGTGTGGGCTGCGTGATGGAGGGCTTTGCTGTAGCCTTTTTTGGTGAGTTAAAGTTTGCACGTTGAAGTGTTACTTACAACTTGGTATGATTTAATTTGCACAGTGGTGGAAGTACTCTGATCCTTCACTTAAGTAAAAGTAGATATGTAGCAATGTAAAAATATTCTATTAGTAATCTAATCAAATGCAGGGAAGTAAGTAAAAGAAAGAGAATAGTAAGAGAACAAGTGTTATCAATGAAATTTAAATCTAAATATCTAAAGTAAGTGTAGATAGTCAAGGTAGAGCTAGTTTTAACTACTTTATATACATTCTGTAGTTTAGTCCAGTAGTTCCCAATCTAAGAGTTAATATAAAGATAAATGTGGGCGTGATTTATGAGGTTGAACAGAAGAAAAACATTTTAAAAGTACTGTTACATACATTTGTCTTATTTTGGGGGGACTTTTAAAACTTTACTTTTTTTCGTGAAATATTTGATAATTTTATGTGTTATTTAAATGAGACCCTACGTGAAATACGTGAGCCCGAAAGGTCAAGAACTACTAGTTTAATCTCTAATGTGTTGTATTTTATAAGCTTATATGTTTTATGTAAAATCTTATTGAGAAAAGCAATTAACTATAGCTTTCAGACTAATGTAGTAGTAATATAGTACTATATAGTAGTAAGTAAATGAATCTAATTACTTTTAACCACCGAATGTGCATGTCATTAATTTGCGCAATACTCAGTAGCACGATGTTTTCCACTAAAACCAAAAAAGTCTTTACATATTCTTTCTTTTTCTGTCAGGTATAGCAAGTCTGTGTACAATAGGAGTCATTTCTGTTGAACGCTACATAGTGGTGTGCTATCCCATGGGTGCTGTCCTGTTCCAGACCAGGTACAGTAGTGACCATCAACATTTCATTTCCTCACACAGAGTAGAAAACTTGATTGAAACACCATCTCTGCTGTCCTCAGACATGCAGTCGCTGGAGTGGTGCTGTCCTGGGTGTGGTCCTTTTTGTGGAACACTCCGCCTCTGTTTGGTTGGGGAAGTTATGAGCTGGAGGGCGTCAAAACCTCCTGTGCTCCCAACTGGTACAGCCGGGATGTTGGCAACATATCCTACATCATCATATACTTTTGCTTTTGCTTTGCTGTGCCCTTTTCTATCATCCTGGTGTCTTACTCACGACTCTTGTGGACCCTCCGGCAGGTGAGCCACGTGAATGTGGGGCAGACAAATACACTCAATGATGGAAATATGACACTTTTGTTGCTTGTACCAGCATCTCAATACAGTCTTTTTGTTTGTATTTTGGCGTTTTAGGTGACCAAGCTGCAGATATCTGAGGCTGGCAGCACACATCGCATGGAGATGCAGGTGGCACGAATGGTAGTGGTTATGGTGTTGGCCTTCCTAGTGACCTGGCTGCCATACGCTGGCATGGCCCTTGCTGTCATCATGGACTCCAGTCTATATATTGACCCTATCATCGCTACCATACCTGTTTATTTGGCTAAAAGCAGCACTGTCTACAATCCCATCATATATATTTTCATGAACAGACAGGTAATCCTTGATCATGCACATTTATATTCACACACACAAGCAAAGAAAAGAGAAAGAAATAATAATTCAGGATTATTTAATCATTTACCATCATTTGCCTGTACTGATCATGTATGCTGTATGTCTGTTTCCAGTTTCGAGGATACGCTGTTCCCACTGTCCTGTGTGGATGGAACCCGTGGGCCTCGGATCCACAAATGTCTGAGACAGAGAGCACGGTTGCTTCTCTCAACAAGAGCCAAAAAGTCTCACCTAAAGAACCTCTGAAAGAATAAAAATGTACATGAATCCCCTAATGCCCAGGGAAGCACAAGATCATCAGAACTACTTCCAGCTGTTGGCCAACACTGTCTGCACTGGACTGCAAGGAAAGATGAAATAAAAACAACATATGTAGACAAAGCCGGGGTAATGGACTGATATGGACGCCAGTAATGATGGAGGCATTACAAATTCTGTGTAGTCCTATTTTAAATAAAAACATTAAAGCAACTGTGAAAAGGAAAAAGGAAAACACTCATATGAGACTCTCCATGTGTTAAAATCTGTCTGTTTCTGCTGAGGCTGTCTCAACTTTTTATGTGTTATGACAATAAAGATAATTCTTTTGTCTTGATCCCTGTCACTGATGTTGCTGATCATGTATAATTCTTTTTAATCTCACCATGAGGATGCGGGAGTTGTGCCAATTCCACAGGACGTAAAGATCAAAAGTTTCAAAGATTAAGGGTTCAAATCCACATTTACACAGAAACAACATTCATGGTTTGCTAAAAATGTATGATACACATGCACATTTATTCTGTTTATGGATATCTGTCAGTCAGTGGCTATATTACTTGGTTTAAGAGGCTTATAGCATAGTGTAAGTTATAATAAAACCACACACAAACACACTGACTTGGTTCACAAGAGCCTAAATCTCTAATTACACATGCATCATTTTCTGAATTGTGACACCAAATTTGAAAGCTCTTACTGTTTTCTTTTTGCACAACTAAATATTTATCCTGACATTTAGAGGCAGTTTAAGTCTAGTAATTAAAATAAGGTTTAAGCCCTGTAATGGTAAACAATGGGTATGTAAATGTAGCTGATAATGTAATTTATCACACTAGATAGCAACATATTTTCAAAGGATTTATGACAAGAAAAAAAAACGGTAATTACATGTTTTTTTTTTTATTTTTCATTAGGTGTACACATCCCCTTTGCTTCTGAAGGTCTGTGCTTGCACACAAATATACCTTTGTCACCTATATATGACCTTTATGGCTTTCATTGATAAAAATCAAAATAATCAGTGTGTTATACTCCTTTGCAACATGATACTTCACTCCAGCCTTTTGGATCCAGCATGTTAAACAGCAAGAAAAAACCTGTCATCAGTTTTGTCAAGTCTCACAGTTTGATCATTCACAGTCACTTCTCCCTCTCTAAATAAACACAAATGCAATCATACTCATCCTATTACCTTGGCTTTTTATTGATTACAGAAATATTGCTATGACTTCCATTAAAGAAAAGCAAAAAAAAAAAAAAAAAGCCAGAGTGTGAATAGCTGTATCAAACCTGTACACTTTTGTATATACAGAGTGAGGGATCATCTATGTACATGCTACATACTGTCACACTCTGGGTAAATAAGTAGTCCTTCTGACAGGCACAGACGTAGGGTCACTTCACCCTTTCTTAATTCATTTCAGAAAAAAAAAAGATGCAGAAGTAACCCGAAGTCAGTGCCTGAGGAACAGAAAACTCCAATCTACACTCACAGGCCATCTCATAGATACAGTACACGTTGACATGTCAACTGATTGGTGTGTGAAACAGTTGTGGGCTTGAACACCTGGCGCTTGGAGGACTGACTTTGGTCCTGTTGTTTCTGGCAGGAACAATAACAGCAGGAAACAACAGCGTGTCTGAGGGCTTCAAGTCCTGTTAAAAGTTAGCGCCCAGTTACACAGGCCGCATCACTGTACTGTACAGCTTGACGTCGAAGCTGGTCCCAATGCTGGCAGCACATCACATTGTTGCTGAATACTGTGTTGTCTTCATCTTATTTAAGGTCTCTAGACTCTATGAGCAGCCATTGCAGGTTAATGTGGTGTTTGGTGTAAAAATCATGTAATAAGGTCATGTCCCATGCAAAATTTTAACCAACTGGAGGTATTCCTTTTCCAGCAGCAGCTATTTCACATACCAACTTGAAAACAGCTGTGTTTAATACACGAACATGCTTGAAGAGATGACGACAAAAGACATGGGTAAGGTAGTCACTGAACAGTAATATTATGGTAAAATGAACAGAGAATGAATGACACAGAAGACTGACAGGTTGATTCTGAGAAATGATTTTTCTTCTTCTTCACATACAGTTTGAACCAGCTTTGCAAAGAGTTTTCAGGCCATGTCCGGCATACTCTGCTATACTGGGGAGACATACAAGACCAGCTGTACCTCACAGCATCCACAAAACGACACTAGCAATAAGTCCTGAGCTCAAGGAATGTGCAACACGTCCCCAGCCAGTCGCCACACTGTTCCGGTGGGAACACAGTAAAGACTGAGAACAGCATCCTGGAATTAATTATCATTGCTTCTGACAAGTAAAAAGTATGATCATATATACAGATTGGGGGGAGGGGGGAGTAAAAATAAATGCACATGGAGTTGGGCAGGATAGGGTTGAATGTTCTACTCATGATCTAAAGAGGTAAAAATCAGGTGCAAAGAGAACATTTCAACATCAACACCTGTACATCACACAACAAATCAAGACAACTTCTGAGTCAAGGCAAAAGAGGAAGGGGGTGTCTAAGAATAAGCAGGTGAGGATTTGTACACTTCCTTTATCTCTCTGTCTTTACAGGTTGTCCTTCTTGTGTACTTAAACAGGAGCATCCCGCAGCGTAGTGTTCTTTACAGCATGTGAGCATGTGACAAATGTAATTATTGTCTACTACTGGTTTGTGGGTGTTTTTAATTGTAGTGTAGTGAAGTGTCCAATTTTGTTGGTGAGGGTAAATACGTCTGTCCTACGCTGAGTGAGTTGTTGTTTCTCTTTTTTTTGGTTTGTTACTTTGATTCTTCTTCATTCTACTACCTACAAAGTACTTTACATCCTACTCTGCTTGAGTGACTGATGAGGTAATGACAGCCACCCTGACCTCTATGGGACAATAAGGTGCTAAAGTTTATCTCTGTAAACTCCATTGATCTACACACTCTTAACTTTCAAGTGAGCCACCAGTGTGTGTGTGTGTGTG